CTGAATACTGTCTTAAACAATAAAAATTATTTTCAGGTTCCTTATAGAGATGCAGAAACGAATTTCAGGTGACTAGACCTTTAGTACCATGAGCCACCCAACGCAGGAGAAACTGGGATAGGAATCCAAGAACAAGCCACAGAACAAAATCCCATACTTTTTATAGACTTTAGAGAGAAATGGTCTCTTAGAGGGGAGGAGTCTCTGAGTTTAGTAGATTACTGAAGGTACTAGAAGAGATATAAAGCTATGACTTAGGAATTTAATCCTATTGTACCACTCTACTTTGGGGCTGTTACACAGTGGAAGTTTAATGGTGCATTAGATAAAGATATAAGGCATACCCTCTACGGGGCCGTCTGTGACCTGACGAGAGTGTAGCTGTACTTAGGATGTGCTCATTTCATGTCTTGTGGGTATAGGACCAGAAGTGGGGTTTCTAGATCATACATAGTTTATTTTCAGTTTCCTTAGAAACCTTCACACTGTTTTTCCAGAATGATTTCAGCAAATGCCAGAATGCCCTTGTCTCTATACCCTTGCCAATACTTGTTATCTTTTATCTTTTTTTTATAATAGCAATCTCAACATGCAAGAGATAATATCTTACAGTGGTTTCTTTTATTGGCATTTCCCTGAATATAAGTGATGTTGAGCACCCTTTTGAGTACTCATTTGACATAGTTTTTAGAGCAATGTCTACCCAAGTCTTTCATTCACTATTTAATTGGGATATATCTGCTACTGAGTGGTATACTTAAAAAAAGAAAAACCCTCGATATTAACCTTTGCCTGATGTATGAATTGAAAATAGTTTTCCTAATCTGTAAGCTGCCTTTCCATTTTGTTTTCTCGTTTGCTACACAGAAGCATTTTATTTTGATGTAGCCCCTTGTGTTTTTGTTTTTTCACCTGAGCTTTAGTTTTTGGTGTGATGTTGAACGAATTACTGCCATGGGCAACGTCAGTGAGTTTCTCCCTGTGTTTTCTTCTGGGAGTTTTATGGTTTCAGATCTTATGTTTAGCTTTTTATTTATTTATTAGGATTTTAATTTATTATATTTATTTTTATGTTATGATTGTTTTGCGTGCATGTATATAAGTGCACCTATGCTTGCAATGCCTTACAGAGGTCAGAAGAAGGCGTTGGATCCTCTGGAACTGGAGTTACAGACAGATGTTAGTTGACATGTGGGTGCTGAGAACTGAATCCAGGTTATCTGGAAGAGCACTCAGTGCTGTTAACCACCAAACCATTTCTCCAGCCCCATATTTATTTATTGTTTTTGATTTCTTTATTTTTATTGTATGCATGTGTTTTGCCTTCATGTATTTAAGTTCACCAAATGTGTCAGATTCCCTGGAACTCGAGTTAGGATGATTGCTAGCTGCCATGTGGGTGCTGGGAATCAAATACTGGTTCTCTGCAAGAGCAGCCACTACAGACAGTGCTCTTAACCAATGAGCCATCTCTCCAGTCCCGTGTTTAGCTTTTTAAAATACAACTTGAGTGAAGTTTTACAGAGGGCATAAGAAAAGGGTTAAGTGTCATTCACTTGTATGAATCCAGTTTTCCCATCCCCTCTTATTAAAGAAAGTATCCTCCTTTTTTCTTTTTTAAGTAGCACATCTAGATTTAATAAAGAAAAACAGCATTCATGGTTGAAGTTGTGGGTGAATGTGTCATTGCTACATAATGTTTATTGTTAGATGCAAACATATAAATTCAGGGCGCTGGGGCTGGAGAGATGCCTCAGCAGTTAAGAGCACTGGCTGCTCCTGCAGAGGACCTAGATTTGGTTCCCAGCACCACAGGGCAGCTAACAACCATGCCAGTTCCAGGGCATCCAATGCTTTCTTCTGACCTCCATGCACGACATGGGTGCACTTATATACATGCAGGCAATACACTCATACACATAAAATTTTCAAAATAAGATATTAAAAAAATTCAGGACATGAACATGACTTTAAAAGTTAAGTAGATTTAATTTTAACACTATTATAGCAGGAACCAATTAAAATTCTTACCATTTGTTTTGCATCCACAAAACCACTTCAAGGACATTAATGATCCATTTTGTGCAAGTAAATCATGTTTCTTGCCTTTGTTTCCTCCTCCTTCTTTTTCTTCTTCTTTCTGTTTCTAGACAAGGTCTCACTATGCAGTCTTGATTGGCAAGGAACTCTTCTTGCAAAAAAATTTTTGGCTTTATTTTTTATTGAATTTTTGTGTATTTTATACAGAAAATCATCTTTTTTTGTTTTGTTTTGTTTTTTTTTTTGGTCTTTTTGAGACAGGGTCTCCCTGTAGCCCCAGCTGTCCTGGAACTCACTATGTAGACCAGGCTGGCCTTGAACTCACAGAGATCCGCCTGCCTCTGCCTCCTGAGTGCTGGGATTACAGGCGTGCGCCACCATGCCCAGCAATAGAAAATCATCTCTATATTTCTTTTCCCTTCCCCTTTGGCACCCTCCCATAGCCCCCCCCCCCAAGTGGAGTTCATATATTTTGTCATTTGTGTTAAGGCCTATTATGTAAAGTTAGTGTCCCCAGATGTCGCTCAGTGCAAGTTCATCCACCCGGGTTTAGTCAACCTATTTAGAGTCTCTCTCTCCCTTCAAGGAGGGCAGTTCTTGCTCACCCAGCAGTAATCAGCTTTGGCTTTATTTTTATGTGTATGAGTGTTATGCTTGCATGTATCTAACTGTATCTGTGTCATGCAATACCCTTGTAGGACAGAAGAGGCATGGATCCCCTGGAACTAGAGTTATAGACAGTTATTAGCTGCTGTGTGGGTGCTGGGATTCCAAACCCCATCTTCTGCAAGAGTAGCCAGTGCTCTTAACTGTTGAGCCATCTCTCCAGCCCCTGGCCTGGAACTCTTAAGTAGACCAGACTCACAAAGAGCTGCCTGCCCCAGCCTCCCAAGTACTGGGTTTAAAGGTGTGGATCACCATGCTGGGCTCAATAAACTCTTGTCGAATTACACGCTTGAATAAAAATACTGCATGAACTCTATCTGCTTCTATTTAAAGTAGGTAGTTGTTCTGAGAGTACACCTTCTCAGCTAAGTTCATGGGAAGGATAATGGGATACCAAACAGCCTCCACCACATAAATTCCTAACATATTTAGAACATAGAGGGGTGTGCTTGTTTGTTCTTACTTTTGATCTGAAAAATTTAACTAATGTGTGCCTGAATGTTCAAAATATTTTCAGTGATTTTACATACAAAGCATGAAAATCTTTTGACTAGATTAAAAGTTTCTCAATGCCTATACTATTTTGGAGATATTCTGTGTTTTTTAAGTTGTTTCCAATACATATTTGAAACTAGCACTTATAAATGCTGAGGTGGAGAGTTGGTGGTGAAAACTGGAATATGTGGGTGACATAGGCTTGGGTTCTTTTGGAAATATGTGAGCATTTATGTTGGTGAAGTCTTTTATTTTTTTTAATTATGTGTATATGTATGTTGGGATGGTGTGCATATGAATGCAGGGCTTGCAGATACTGGAAAAGTTTCCCTGGAGCTGGTGATTGCGAGCCACCTGACATGGGGGCTGGGAACTGAACTCGAGTCCTTCGGAAAAACACAAGTGTGCCTCACTGTTAAGTCACCTCCCTTCTCCCCTCTTTCTTTTCTTTTTTCTTTTCTGACAGGGTCTCCCTGTAACCCTAGCTGTCCCGGAACTCACTATTTAGACAAGGCTAGCCTTGAACTCACAGATCTGCCTGCCTCTGTCTCCTGCGTGCTGGGATTAAAGGCGTGGGCCACCACGCCTGGCTGTCTTTGGTTTCTTTAATTAAAAAAAAAAGAAAAAGAATTATTAGTGTGCGTGCGCGTATTAGCGCGTGTGTTAAAAAAAAATTATTAGGAACTTGCTACATAAATCAGACCAGCCTCCAACACACTGATGTTCTCTTGCTTCTGCCTCGGAGTTCTAGGATTAAAGGCGTACACTACTGAACCCGGCTCGGTTCCGCCCCCCCGCCCCTTCACAAAGGCAGAGTTTTATGTATCCCAGGCAGACCTCTAACTCCTTTGTAACTGAGGATGACCTTAAATTTTCTGTCCTTTGGGCTCCACCTCCCAGATCCAGGGATTATAGGCGTTTACCACCGCAGCCGGTTTATGCCGAGGCTGGGGATGAAACTCAGAGCTGCCTGCACGCTTGGTAAACACTCTACCAGGTGAACTACATCTTCAGCTCTCTCATATCTTAATGGCAAGACTCAGTCTTGGAGACGTTATTTTGGCTCAAGGTAGAGCAATTACTTCTTAGGTAGGGCTGGGAATCCTGTGATAATTATTTTGTGTTCATGTAGAAGAGCCCGCATTCAGTGCTAGCTCTATTTAAAATGGAGTTGCTTTTTTAAATGCATCGGTATCCACCTCATTGCACAAAGGGTTTGGGTGCTTAGGAAAGTGGAGAAAGTCTATTAAACCGTTATAATAGTACAGGAAGCAAACCATTAAGGGTACTCATCCCATGCCAATTCAGGAGCATATTTCTGGTTATGTTTACGTAGGTTTTCCCCAGAGTGGGTAGTTCCTAATCTTTTTGTCAATATTTGCCACGAGTTGTCATTAACTCATTATTAATGGGACATGTTCTTTAATGCTTCGAAACCTTGCTCAATATAGGCCCCAAGTGTACCTTTAAGCCTCAAGAGGGAAACACTTTGGCTGAAGTCAGTACCCCAAGCCACACCCACTGCGAGGCCTTGGGAAACTTGGGGCTTGCCCGGCCGGGACTCCGCTCTCGCAACCTCACGGCGCCTGGGAATTCGGAGGCCGCAGCTCGGGCGTCCAGGGCGGGAGGCGCAGCAGCCCCGCAGGTCCGCAGGTGGGCAGGCGGAGGGCCAACTCCAGGTCCAGCCGCAGCCCGGGTCCCGGGTGCGCGCCGCCGCACCCCCAGTTCATTTGCATAGAGACGCGCGCGGCGCCGCCGAGCCGGAGGGAGGGAGGGAGCGAGGGAGGAACGGCGGGCGCGGCCCGGGCGGAGGCGCGCGCGCGCCCTGACAGCTCGTCCCCGGCTTCCCAGCACAGCATGGCGGTCAAGGTGACTCCAACTCTCTGCTGCTGCCTTTATTGCATAAGAGACATCCCAAGGGCCCTGAGTGCAGCCCCCCACCTCTTTCCATTGCCTTCTTTGCCTGGTTCTTGGATAGCGCGTCCTGGGGCTCCAGATTGCGGGTGCAGAGCTGTGCCGGGCTTGGACCGGAGGGAAGAGGATGCCCGGCTGGGGGAGGGGAAGGAGGAGGGATTGTGAGTTGAGGGGCTTGTGAGGACCACGGGTGGATGAAGGAAGGGTAGTATCTTGCCCTAGGTACACGGGATTGCGAGTACCGAGTTGAAGAGCATGGGAGAGGGAGTGGAAGTGGCGAGCAAAGCCGGGGATACCCAGGGCATCCGTGGATCTCGGTGGGGGAAGGGTTGAGTGTTGTAATTTGGGGTTCAGTACAGCCGGGGGCACCGGTTGACATTTGCTTGGCAGGTGGCTGGATGTAGAAAGTATCCGTATTGGTGGCAGTTCTCATACTTCAGGCTGGATGGAAGAGAAGGGTCGCCGAGATGATTCTATGCTGTTACTGCTTTTCTTCGTGAAGAAAGGCTGCTAGGCCATGCTATTAATTTAGCTGTTCCGCTTCTCCTGTTGCTCCACTCTTGTAACTCTCTGGATTTGAAGCTTGGTGGTTGCTACTATGTTGCTAGTAGATGTGGAGCAAAGTAAAAGATTATACTTGTTGGTTTACCTTTCCAGTTCCGAGTAAGCACTGTATGTAATTTGCTGTATCTTGGGCTATTCACACCCGTTTTTCCACCTTGTAGTCATAGATCTCCAGTTTGACAGGTGTTATCAGCAATTAGGCTTTGGGGTTGTTTTACACTAAATGCCCTTATAAAAGATAAATATGTTGATTGTCAGCATATGTGAGCTATAATCTAAAGAGATTGTGTGGTTTCTAGCAAAGCATTAACCAGCACCCCCCCCCCTTACAGGTGCATACAACCAAGCGAGGTGATCCTCATGAGCTGAGGAACATATTTCTACAGGTAAGTTAAAGAATTTTTGCAATTAGGAAAGAAAGAAAAAGTGTCCTTTTCAAGCTTTAACTTCTTTAACATTGAGGAATATTCTATTTTCACATATTCATACAACATGAATGGACAATGCCATTTATAATTCTCTTATTAATGACTGACTGAAGGATTTCCTTTATATTATGGATTGAAGGTTTTCCTGAAATTACTGTTTTAGTTTATATGACTTAAGATAAAGTTTTCCTACTCATAAATGTCTGTATAATTTGTTATAGAGATAATATTATAGGTATTATACCTGTGCTCCCCTTCTACTTATTTCTATTATAATCACAGATCTTGGGGGGCATTAATACAAAATGTTTCCTTTAAAATTCTTCTAAGGAGGCTGGAGCCTCTAAGGAGGCTCAGTACAGTAAATATGGAGAGAACCAACTCCACAACATTGTCCCCTGACCCCCACATGTGTGCCATAGCACACAACTCCCCCCAATAATAAATTAATTTTTTAATAGGAAAAATTATTATAAGGATTTATCTTAACTCATGTTAAGCTTTTAAGATTGGTGACTTTGCTATAGACTTAAAATAGGGGAAAAAAGGTTGCTTGGTTTTTAAATTTTGTTTTCTTCAATTTCTAAGGTGTTTCACCAAAGATTGTATTTTTCTCTAAAAATCTTCTTTTGAGAAGTTCCTATTTTGGATATGGGTTCTGTGTAGACACTTAACCTTGGACAGATTCCTACTGGGTATTATTTTCCTTGGTAAAATGAAAGGTGACCTCCAAGGTTCCTTCCAATTCTAAAAGTCTATGATTCTATATTAGGAACAGATTCTAACATATGTCGATGAGCCAGGACTAGATGGTGTTTTTATCTGAGACATGCGGTTTCCTTAAGCTATTGTTGGAGAGGAAACTGTATAGACAACTACACACGTATAGTGTAGCTCATAAAGAAGAATTAGTTAAGGCAGGGGTATTAGCTCACAGAGTGCCCGCTTCCCTGTTTTGAAGTCCTGAGTTTGAGCCTCAGCAACAACAAAAAGTTTATGTTTAATTTTTTTAGACAAAGTCTCACTATGTAGCCCACGCTGGCCTTGAGCTTTTGATCTTTTTGCCTCAGGTCTACCATGCTCCTTAGAAAGCTCAAATTTTATAAAATGTGTTAAGAGGAGTATCCTTTCTAGAGCAGAAATAATTATAATAGAACTGTACTATTTATGCCTTAAAACTTTTGTTCCTCACAAGTATTCTTGAAGACACATAAAAATATATATCATATGTCCCCCATACCATGATTTATTATTTGGTGGGTTTTTTTGGTCTTTTTTTTGAGATAGGGTCTCCCAGTAGCTCCAGCTGTCCTGGAACTCACTATGCAGACCAGGCTGGCCTTGAACTCAGAGATCCCCCTGCCTCTGCCTCCGGAGTGCTGGGACTGAAGGCGTGCACCATCACGCCTGGCTTACTCAATTGTTTTGTAGGAATTTCATGTGATATAGTTAATTTTCTGATTAAGCAGGAGTGGAAGAAATTAGTAGAGATGTGGCATGATGTAGTAAAAAGAGCATTGGTCCAGGTGTCAAGAACACTGGTTTAATTCCCAGGCCTATGTCTCTATGGCTGTTGTGCCTTAAGCTAATTATCTGGGAATCCTGGGCTTCACTTTCTCATGTGGATTCAGTGGAAGAAAATGGAAAGTGAGGCATTCTACCTGGTGGCCAGGCGTGGTGGCGCACACCTTTAGTCCCAGCACTCGGGAGGCAGAGTGGATCTCTGTGAGTTCAAGGCCAGCCTGGTCTACATAGTGAGTTCAGGTCAGCTGGGACTACAGGGAGACCCTGTCTCAAAAAGACCAAAAAAAACCCCACAAAATTCTACCTAGAAAAAACCTCTGACTCTCTATGGATTGACCCAAATTACATGCAGTTGGCTGGGAAGAGTGGCTGGATACTACAGTGAGAGTCCAATGACCCTGCTTGGCCCTCCTTTAATGAATGAGTACAACCGTCAACAAGCCCAACTGTGACAATATTTAGCAATCAGGCTCAGCTGAAGTTGTGATGATGGTAGTTATTTCATGCAGTAGAGACTGCTGTACAGCATCATCTTATTAAAAGGACATGGAATTTAAGAAGATTTGGTTCTAGGATCCACATATGAGGGAGAACATATGTCGTTTGTTTTTCTGCGTCTGTGTTACTTAGTACAGTTTCTAGATCCATCCATTTACCTGCAAATTTCATTATTTCATCTTTCTTTACTGCTGAGTAGAACTCCATCGTGTAAATATACCACATTTTTGTTAGCCACTCATCAGTTGAGGCATACTTAGGTTGCTTCCATCTTGTAGCTATTGTGAAAAGAGCAGCAACAAACATACAAATGTCTCTACACTAGGATGAGTCCTTTGGGTATATGCCAAGGAGTGGTATAACCAGGTCATATGGTAGGTTCATATTTAGTTTAAGGGTTCTCCGCACTGTTTTCCATAGAGGTTGCACGAGTTTGCAATTCCAGCAGCAGTGAATGAACGTTCCTCTTTCTCCACATCCCTGCCAGCATTTGCTATCATTTGTTCTCTTGATCCTAGCCAGACTGACTGGGGTAAGGTGATACCTTAGGGTGGTTTTAATTTGCATTTCCCTAATTACTAAGGATGTTGAACACTTTTTGAGATGTTTCTTAGACATCTTTATTTCTTCCTTTGAGAACTGTCTGTTTAGATCTTTAGCTCATCTTTTAATTGGGTCATTTGGTTTCTGGATTCTGTGTTTTTTGAATTCTTTATGTATTCTGGATGTTAAACCTCTGTCAGATGTGTCACTGGTGAAGATTTTTTTCCCATTCTGTGAGTTTTCTCTTCACTTTTTTCATTGTTTCTTTTGCTGTACAGAAGCTTTTTAGTTCGTTTGGTGTGTGTGTGTGTGTGTGTTGGTTTGGGTGGGTAATGGTGGTAGGGGGTTGGAGGTGCAAGAGGAGAGCTCACAACTACCCCTAGCCCTTCTGTGACATTTAAATTTAGCTTTTCATGTGCTGTTTTACATATTATTAATATCTTTTTGCACATCATTATTTTGTGGTACTGGGGATCCAACCTCTCATACATATTAGGCAAAAGTTCTGTCACTGAGTTACAACACTGGTCTTTTTCTTCTTTTTTTGGTCTTTTTGAAACAGGGTCTCCCTATATCCCCAGCTGGCCTAGAATTCACTATGTAGACCAGACTGGCCTTGAACTCACAGAGATCTGTCTGCCTCTGTGCCACCTCGCTTGGCTACACCACTAGTCTCTTACACATTATTTTGATGTTGCCTGTATTTTGTTTTTGTACTGAAAATTGGTGTTTATCATTACATATTTAGCACTAAAACATAAAGCTTTATTTATTATTTATTTATTTATTTATTTTTGGTCTTTTTGAGATAGGGTCTTTCTATAGCCCCAGCTGGCCTGGAACTCACTATGTAGACTAGACTGACCTTGAATTCACAGAGCTCTCCCTGCCTCTGCCTGGGATTAAGGGCGTATGCTACCATGCCTGCCTGGCCTTTCTTTATTTACTTTTTAAGAGTCTGCTATATATCCATGGCTGGCTTGGTTCTTGCAGTATAGCTCAGGCTGGCTTGAATTCAGGGCAATCAGCCTCTCAAATGCTGGGATTATAGGCAGGAGATGCCCCACCCAGTTTCAAGTATTATTGATAGACCAGAGAGGAAAAGAACAAAGATACTTAAAGTTCAGGAAGGCAGAAATCAGCCACAAAGACATATTATAGCTTGTTGGAGCACAGTTACCTTGTAGCATATTAGGATTTTATTCCTGACTTGATTAGTTCAAAGTATAGTTACTTAAAGCTATTGGGGGCTTTTGGAAAAAGTTTCATTATAGTTGCATATGACTTAAGAATACTTTAATACATGCTAGCTATATTTCAATGTTTAATGTATTTATCCAATTGTGTATTTTAAATCTTGTGTGTGTGTGTGTGTGTGTGTGTGTATATGTATGGGTGTGCATATATGGAGGTCAGAGGACAGCTTCCAGGAGTTGGTTCTTTTCTTCCTCTGTGGGATTCCAGAAATTGAATTCAGGTCAAGCTCTTTTACCTGCTGAGCCATCTGCCAGCCCCTCAACAAATATTTACTAAAGACTATTTGCTATGTACCATGCACCTTTTAGTTTAGTAGTAATCATCCAATTAACTAATTAAAGCCGAGAATTGAGCCATGACTTGAATAATGGTGAACCTTCTCTGAGGCCCATTTTATCTCTAATTCTGTTGAGGAAGTCAAGAACAACAAAGGCCAATGCATGGTCTGGGGTAGAACAGTTGGATTGGTTTGCCTAGAATAGAGGTTCCTAGCTAGGCATGGTGGCACATGCCTTTAGTCTTGGTACTCGGGAGGCAGAGGCAGGTGGCTCTCTGTGAGTTCAAGGTCAGTCTGGTGTACATAGTGAGTACAATTCCCAGCATCCACATGGCAGCTAACAACCATCCTTAACTCCAGTTCCAGGGGACTCTGACTCCCTCTTCTGACCTCAGTGGACATTGCACAGTGCAGGTGCACTTAGATTTACACACATGCAGGCAATACATCATACATATAAAATTTAAAAAAATGTAAAAATATGCTCTATTAGATGAAAATGACTAAATGCTAACTTAAACAGGTTGTAGAAGAAAGAATCTGACTCCCACTCCCGCTTCCTTTTCTTTTTGAGATAGGGTCTCACTATGTAGCCCTGGCTGACCTGGAACTCTCAAAGATCCTCCTGCCTCTGCCTCTTCTGTGCTGGAGTTAAAGGTGTGTACATCCTGCCCAGTTGAAAACCCCTGTTTTGATGTCCTCTAAGACTTGGACTCCATTTATATGTACCTCAAAAAGATATTTTATTTTATTTTTTAGAAAAGGGATGATTTTTGAAAGACAGAATCATATTAGAAGTTTGGCAGCTGTGCCTTGCAGAGAAATTAAAAAATAATTTGGCTATTTAAGTGCTAAAATA